ATTTCATTTGCTTCTTATTGCTATAATAGGAAACCAACAAGAAAATTCAGAACTTTCTTTTGACAGAGAAAACAAACAAATGTATTATCAGCCGGTGGTTCTACAACAGGAAAGCTAGGATATCACCCTAATACTGTGTTGGTGAATCACAAAATAGCAAAACGGCAGTGAAATAGATAAAATGACAAGCGGAAACGAAGAATTACATAGTAACCTCTTTTCATTTGTGATGACTTTAATTTAACTTAATATTAAAGTTGCCATTTCACATAGTGATAATCTAAAGCTATAAACTGGAAAACAAGCAAAAAAAAATATAAAGAAGACGGAAACAACCTTTGCAGGAATACCCGGTAATGTCAGTGATATAGCCAGGGTCGCAGTAACATGTGTAAGACCCAGGGATGTTGTTGCAGTAACCATCACATTTGGCTGCTGCTATTTATTGATATATTGCTTAACATTTTTACTAAACACAGTTATAAATTAATGCCTTAGTACTAAATAAAATATTCGGAATATCTAAATGTCCAGCAATATAGGTCGACCATTTAGTACGAAAAATCACAGGGTATAAATTCACTCTAAAGAACAATATTTAAATTTCTTAGATGCCTTTAATTATGAAAATGAAAACAAATAATCAAAATTATTGATACTATATTTGTAGACAAAACTACAAGAACAAGGACATGAAGAATGATATATAACGTATTCCTCTTACATGTAAGTCATTCTTTCAGATTCAATGTACATATGTTTAATTCAGCTATTGCAATATTTAATGTAATTTAATCATACCCTATTTAGTTTTGCAGTTTCCGAACACAGCTATTATTGCTACATATATACAATGATGAATGGTTTGTGTTTCAATATGTTAGACACATAATTATTTTCTATTAATAAAAATGTTATAATTAAAGAGACATCATTATATATAAAATACTACAGTCTGTTATGTTGAAGCAAAATAGATGTATTAAATGTAGACATGGCTATTTAAGCAAACAAGAATTCTGTAAACATATTTTCTTTGATTAATTTTTAAGTCAATTAAGTCTTTACGTGTTCATGTAAGAAGCATTTGGAAGATATTGATATCGTATAGGTAGTCCATGGCCGAGTGATTAAGGCCGATGACTTCAAACCACTTCCCCTTCCAGTTGGACTTGGATTATTTCATACGAGTAAGCTCTCCAAGTAGCTAACATAGTGTTGGTGGTTCTACTCAGCTCATGCCTGAAATAAAACATGGACATGCGCTTGATGTCTTCCTGTACCAGTAAAGCTGAAATTTGAAGCTATGTCCTACGTAGCCAGGACGAGGCTGATAAACTCTCAACTATACATATACTACATTATATACCTTGACATGACTTGAGATCCGAGGTCAGTGTATAGCCTGCTCTACATGTACAACGGTAAGAGCCATGAGTATTTACACAATTGTGTTGACACCCATGACCGCTGGTGCTGCATTCGTTGATATCTTTAAAGAAAAGATAGAATATAACCATAAGAAAAAGTTTTGAGATTTAAACATTAAAAACTGCTTCATCTCCTTTCATGGTAGGGGTACTAATGGGTGATGCAAAGTAACTTTATAGACACTTTTATTGTAAAGATAATGAGTGAATACTTTAGAAATGTCGCTTACATTTATCAAATTTGGGATATTTTCAAAAATTTCCAATTAATTCACATGGAAACTTAAATGATGCTAGGCACGGGTAATCTAGTCAGGATCTTAGATTAAACTTAAAAGGAATTTCCTATACTAGGATACCAAGGAGATTAATGTGATTTTGTTGTAGTAAAAAGTTAAACATAAGAATGTATGGACTTTTTAACAATGATGACACTTTTACAATGACATCTTCAATAAATTTCTACGATTCGGATGTGCTTTTTGACGTGTCGTTTTTCATTTGAATTTAGTGAATATTATACAGTTTTGACTTGAGTGTCACCGACAGATGACATATTGATAGCCGATGTTAATATGACCTTCTGTCGGTAAATATCACATCACATCCAATGACTCATTAGTCAATAATTGTTTTATTATATGAATAGGCTAAGAATTAAAAAGAAATCACAAAAAAAGACCTTATACGCGTACAACTTTTGCCACGAGAAAAAAGACGCACGTGTCAGGCGTGCAACGACTATGATAAGGCTTCCATACAACAAAACGCAACAATTATTTTGTTAATGTGCACGCTTAATTAACAGTCATTGAATACGAGTTTCAAACTATTTTTTGACTCGACCAGTGAGTATGATATTTAACACAATGAATATGATTTTATAAAAAGTTCTGTTGACTACTGTTTAGACCAAAGAGAGTGCATATATATTTAGATCAAATAATAAAGCAAAATATGTACGGGTATATAATACATCAACGTTTTGATACAGCGTCAACATCTTAAACAAGATAAAATCCATTGAAAGCCATTACCATAAAACCTGGGCGAGGAGAAGCCACGAGGACAGCTACACATGTCTGGAGATTGGCATTTTCCACCGTTAGGACACGAATATGACCCAAAACACAACGCTGTGCAAATGATAAAGTATAATTTTACAAAAGTTTATACATATGATATTAAACTCATAGAACAGTCACATACTCGCCACTCACATTTTTTTTTTTTTGGGGGGGGGGGGGCAGATAAAATACTTTTGTTTCAGCTTTTAATTTGAAGAGATAAGATTCGACAAATAGGGTACTAGACTACCAACAGAAAATATTTTAACAAACATTGATTTTAGTTATTTATTAAATTGATACGAATACAAAGTTTATGAAACAAAAAACATAGTTCAATGTCTATAGCCACAGACATACAAATAAACATACACACATACTATGAGAAACAATATAATTTTCCAGAGGGTTAAAATATTTACCAAAAAAAACAAAAACAATTCGAGATTTTCATACAACAAAGGTTTCTATGTCTCGTCCATATTGTTATATTGTTATATGTTGTCAAGAAATACGTTTTTGATTTGCATAATAAAAACGTAGACAATGCTAGCAACGTTTTCATTGATCTAGATGATAAAATATTATCAAATTTATTCATATTTGGCTCATCACAATATATATGTTTAAAAAGAATTATTCTAAGATCTCTATAATGCGGACACACGAGGATAAAGTGGTATTTATTTTCATTTTTTCTCATGTTACATGATTTGCACATTCGGTCATCACGTTGGGTATTATCATATCTTCCTGTTTCAATAAAAATGTTGTATGAAGAGGTTCTAAACCTAGTAAGTGCTACTCTATATTTGTTTTCATGAACAGTCTGAATATTATTTCCCCCAAAAATTTGTTTATATAGACAATAAGTCTGTAATTTTGAAGAATTATTAATTTCGGCATACAGTATTTGCATAAATGTGTCCAATTATCATTGTTTTATAGAGTTATTAGGAATTTCAATATCAAATTGGTTATCCCAGATATATTCTAATCCGTAACTCGATAGAATATCTTTTACATAAGAGGCCCATTTTATTCCACCATAATTACAACCGGAGTCAGTATCGGATTTAAGGAGAAGGTATGATTGTTTTACAGTTGCGGAGTCGTTCTGTTTAAGTATCTTTTTACATATTAACTTCACCGGAACTCGACCTAATTCTCCATAGAAGGCTACAAGATTCGTTGAGTTCTTTACCCCAAAAATGCGTATGAATGAGCTCGATATCTAGTGCTTCGTGTAAAACCCAAACTTCTGAACTAAAATTTTAAATTGAAACTACCAAAAAATCGGATAGTTTATATTTTTGATAGACTGGTAACTGTATGTGTATATAAACTGTAAAAAGGTTAGAAAAAAATATATGACGCATATTGAGCGATTTTTTATTGAGTTCTATACCAGTTACCCTTTTTGAAAAGTGAAATGCCAAGATATTTAATAGATTAATCTATTCATGTGTTGTAAATAAAGAAATCACAGTGGGAATGTCTGCTTTAGTCTTAGACGTATTAATTTTCAACCCCCAAAAGTTGCCAATAATTTTGCATATCATTTAACATTAATTGTAATGTAAACAAGCTGTATACAATTTGAACATTTGAAAATGTATTCATCAAAAACCCGTTTTAAATGATTTATACAATATATTTCAGAGCAAACGTTTTTAACAACTTACGGGTGCTACAGCCATTTCCGGAATAGCCCAGACAGCATTCACTTCTATAGCATGTTTGTGCACATTGCTTGTAAACGATTCTGTATATAATTGAAAAGAATTTTTGAGACATTAACAGGTAAGTCTTAGTATGCTCTACAAAATACGATAATATATGCAGTTATGAAATGTTGATTTTATGTAAGCATCATCCAACATAAACTCTGTTGTATATTATCTGGAAGAATTGAATATAATTATAATTCAGATGCCAAATATAGTTGTTCAGTGAAATATATGAGTACACTCATATTTATGCTTCATTAGCATAGGGCACAATAAAAAACAACTCTTTCTTAGATTGATAACGTTTTACTGAATGAAATTAGGTTTGGCTGTATTTTGTCCATGGCTGTATAAGAACATGAAATATTCCAGCAATTAAAAAAACATGTAGTATGATATTGACAATTACAAAAGTCATTTATAATATTATAGGACTAAAGCCCATAAGGCTGATTTTACTCCGGACAGTCGGAAGTGACATAAATTGCTCCGGATATCGGAAGCTTAAAATGTTTATTCAGATATAATCAATTACAATTATATTTGAAAAAGAGACGTGTTGACAAATTGAATTTTCAAATTCAGATGACGTCTGACTTGAAAAAGAAGATTATTAGTATAAATATGAACATAATGACATGCCAAGGTTGTCTCCCTTCTAGTAAACTGTAGAGTACGTATAATGAATGCTTATGATTATGAAAGAAGTTTGTGCAACCACTGACGTGACATTGTTCGCGCCCGGTCTTCTGAAACTTACATGTACCAGAACAGATATCAAAAGAGGAAACATGATAATTTACCAATTGATGGTCAAACTCGATTACTCACATGCGCATCGTACATATATGCAATGATGCAGCAAACAGTAAAGAGTTTGATCCTTTTTCCGCGGATAGTGAAAGTTAACCCTGTTGGTTTGAGTTGCTAGCCCTCATTTAGTTAACGAGTACTTAACTAATTAGATATTAATATCTTACAATAACACATATTCAACACATAAACAATTATCAAGGACTTACCTTACTTATATTTAACATAAGCAAACCTTATTGAATGAATTAAAACGAAGCATATGAGAATAAAACGATTGGTTATGATATTTACCGGTATCTGGTACATCTGCTCAACCACAAAAATCCGCATCCTGTATAATATCTCTGCGAAGTTAAACATGATCCTTGACAGGAGTACGTTGTCCTGCAGTAACCGGCATAGATGCTCCTTAAAAAGTCATTGTGTAAATATCTTGGATGAAACACAATGGTGATATAATTATGCCAATAATAACCATATAATTATCGCGTTAACTATCTGACTAACTAGTTAGTTTCCATGTTAACACGATAAATATCAAATATGTATCAGACTAACTAAATATTTCTTTTCTGTTAGATAAATATGTGCACAATTTCAGATCTTTCGCTCCCTTGTTTTTTTTTATAATAATAATTTTCATTGCGCAACATGACCTTAAAGCTGCACGATTCCAGATGAGCATAAATATTTCAAGAAAATTAAAATTGAGAAAAATGTACTAATATTTTAAAAAAGGTAAAAACATTCAAGATTCATGTTTTAGTTTACATGCTATTTCGATTTGAGACCGATTTGCAGTATTGTATCACCATATTTCTACTGCGTTACTAACGTCCGCAGTAAGGGTTGTTTTTGCATATTAATTATTATTTTGACCTCTTTTTGGTCATTTGCATGGATTGTAAGTACCCAGTGAAATATGTAAATGACTTTATTTGCTCACCTCACAATATATTACTTTCAAATACATTTTCATAATAGTCGTGAAAATTAATATGAATCTGGAGGAGTGCTGCTTTAAAATGAACAGTTTCGTAAAAAAATCAGTGAAGCATTAATCACACCAAAATTACATGGAAAATGCCGACTCGGTTTGATTGAGTCTGTACATGAGGGATAATGATTAAATGCAACATCCCTCACGACCCCTAGCACCGACTTGAGTGGTATCAATGCGTAATACGAACAGAAACAGAAACCGAATTTATTCGTCTTATGCATTACGCAGTCGAACACCAATATATACATACATTTGTGAAACATGACATAGTTAAAACACATATTATATACAGTTACATAATCAAAAGGGTGTTTTCAAAGTTTAGATATTCCATGAATCGATTAACAAAATGTTATGAAATTATAAATTAACTCTTTCCCCGGATATTAGTAAAATGCATACAATGTGTGTTCTTTCTACGCGGCTTTACATCTTGTCGTTTTATGGAGCTAGTTTATATACATTGTAATTTTATAAAGCGTGGTTTTCTGCGTTTTTTTATAGTTCAAAATTTTACCTATTGCTCTAAAAACGGAAAATCTTGGGATATACCCTAATACGTAAGACAAAATGTATTCTCTTCTATTGTCATTGTTCGCAAATAATTCACACCAGTCTTTTGTCTTTCTAATATTTCTATTGTCGAGTATTCTACTTTGCCCAATTGAGTGAAATTCTAAGCTATATAAATATTGTCTATGATCTTATTTTTAATTTTTAAAATATTTTTGACAGTTCAAACTCTTTTTAAATTTCCCTGATAATATCAAACTTTGGGCTCAGTTCACTTTAGCCCCACTCTGAAATGTAAATGTCATCAGTCTAATTCAATGTAGGTATAATAATTTATGCTCAACCTGATGAATGGAAATAACCACACACCTCGCCAAAATCCTATTCTATTTAGTAATGTCCTTACTTTAAACGCCAAATTATTTTCTCCTTTTTTCAACACCACAAAGCATTTGTTTACGCAATTTTGTAATATACGTTTACGTTATTGTTAAAAATTTAAACCCCAATATTTAATAATCCTTATCTCCAATTTTTTTAAAAAAAGAGCGCGTTTCTTCCCCTGTTTCGCATATTATCGCTAGATTGCTTGTGGACATTTAACGTTCAACACACTTTTTTATAATTTCTATGAACTCTTTCAATGTATTAGCCTTTGAAAATCCCATATTTCGGGACGAAATAGCAAAGATTGGGAACACATATGAATCGAATAAATGGAATGAATGTTAATTAATTGGTATATCCATGCCTCTAGTTAATTATATAGTGAGTGCACAGCTTTCCCGGCTTTACCGGATAAAGTGTCTATGCCACGCTTGAATGAACCGCCAGTACTGACCATAAATCCCAAATAAGTAAACGATTCTACCACATCTATGTTAATACCTTTATACGTCCATTGTTCGATTTCTGCTAATCGGCCACCTTTTCGAAACACCATTATTTTCGTCTTATCTATACACGATTTAAGCTCGAGCGAGCGAATATTAGCACTTAATATCGGTTTTCAATTTACGTCTGGACCTATTTCTTTTCCATTTTTTCTCATTATCTTTTTCACATTTTACCCGCTTTAAGTTCCCCAGCTGATCAAGGAAAAGTTTTCAAATAATATAAAGAGAACAATTCTTAAGACACTTTCATTCTAATCCTGTTCTTTTAAAGAATACTTGAAATGATTTGTATACTTTGTAAAATGTAGCATGTATATATGTATATTCTGAGAAAAAAATATGTTTATACTAATTATCATATTTTGAGGTTTATTTTGTGTTAATTGTTATTTAAAAAAAGAAAGACTACTCTATCGACCTTTTGTTTTAGTTTAGTATTAATTTTGCATTAAGACATAGTGTTGGTCGCTTGTAGCCAGTCAAGTCAATTCATTTCCCTCTAAAAGTTAGGGCTATTCATTTGTTGTAATGAGAATTTAGATGAGGTGGTAATTTAATAAGCTATTTGAGAAATAATTGGTAATACAAAGTTTGATGTCTTCGTGCAAAACTTTTTTCGATTTGTATTTACTGTTCGTTTTTACGTAACATGCATGCGCGTGAAATTATAATTTTATGCCAATGCATATTTCGTTTCATTGCTTAAATATATATAATTTTTGCTTCATTGCTCAGCAATTACTATGCAAGATGTGGATAACCCACTTTTCATTTCATTATATTTTAAACCTTTAAACAGAGACCAAAGGACGTGTTCCCTAGCTTTGGGAACAATAACGCCCGTCTTAAAACCAAAACAAATATACCTTTGACAGAACAATAAAAGACTTTTAAATTTCATTGTCGATATTTATAGAATAATAAACCCTTTTATTGTTTTAAAAATATATAAATCTTTTAGAAACGGGTGGTAAGCTTGAATGGATTTCAAAAGGATTTGTAAAAGTGATATTTAAAAGTTTATAATTAGTTCTTTTTACAATTAAAGCTTTTTTTCTAATTTTGTACTTGAAACACATTTGAAGATAAAAATGAATTTGGAAGTGGGATTAATCATTAAAATTGTGCATATCCCAATTATTCAAATTTTTGAAAAAGATTAAAATGAAATTTTTTAAAGAGTGACCAAATTACAAAATTGAAAATTTCAGAAGAGACTTTCATATTAGCTTTGCTTTCTGGTTTAATCCGGATAAAAATGTTATAAGTTATGTATAAATTGAAATTGGTTTGTACACATTTATGTGAATTAAAATTGTTGTAGGTTGGGGTTGATTGTAGAGCATATACATGTATATAGACGGCATGAAACACAATATTTAAGCACATCCATTTAAATACGAACCTGGTGTGAAAAAGTATGTTTATTTGACAAATAGAGTCCCTATGTATAAGATGACAGTCCTAAAGTTATAATTTACACAAGGAATCACATACACTTGCGCGCACATACGCACACGCGGCCACACCCATAAAGTAAAAAGGTAATCTGTGCAAAACAGGGTTAAGCAAAGCCGATTACTGATGACAAAACATACCATGACTTTTTAGTTGTGTACAAAAAGGATTTTTTCCCGATATGCAGCGTCTGTACTCCAAAAAATCGTATATTCGACCGACGTCCGGCCACGTGACAATCGGACGGCAGCAGATGAAAATTTTGCTCAACGGGCGGGCGCGCCGTCGAGTTTTAAGTACAACTTAAAAGCTAACCGCGTCCGGACGATATTTTATTCGTGGTCAGTGTGTTGTAAAGAATATCTGGAGGGGATCGACGGGTCGCCAGGCGATATTTTTTCGATCGGACGTTTGTTTTTTTATACAAAAACACCGTCCAATTTTAAAAGCAGCGGGGCAAACATTGCCAGGGCCGCGCCCGGCCCCTAGACAGACATAAGTTGGCGAACGATTGCCGCTTTAAGTCCAATTCATTTATCAATCGCACTCCGTCCGAACATCGGGCGACAACCGTCCAGTTCTTCGAATATTTTCTGTTACGTCGATTCGGCAAAAAACCGCCTTGCGACAGTTTCATTCATGACCACGCGTTGTATCCGATTTAAAATCGCCTGTAGTTTGCGAAATCGTCAAAGCACTGATGTTATAAGAAGAATTGGGCTTCGCCCATTTTATTTGTGACCTAGGCATAGATTCAAAGGAATAGACAGATGTATACTAGGTCAAACTAACACCTTGGTTTCTTTATTAGCTTACTTGAGCACATTGTAGCTCTAAGTGGCCTTGTCTCAAATGCATAGATTTTCAAAATCTTACAGAAAAAATATCCTCCGACGCTTCAAAGACATGAGCTAGATATTTTTAATGGAACATTTTGGACGTCTTGAAAGAAGTTCAAATTATGTCCTTAAGGCCCCTTATGCCCATCAGCCCTGCCCAATTGGACCCTAGTACTCGTTGTTAATAGTAAACAAAAAGTATTAAAAAAATGTTTCCTAAAGACTTTGATATATGACACGAAACATTGTCTGGTGGACATGTATCAAGATTGTCTAAATTAATCCTTTCTCAAAATTGACTCTTCCCATGGGCACAGTTCATCGTTTTAAATGTAAAATTATCTTTGATATGAGCTGACATATATTTTAACCAAGTGATTTACTTTCTTGTCCCGTGATGTCCAGCTATGAACTTTTGACAATGTGTTTTAGATGTAAATTTTACCTTTGTTACCAGCTCTCTTAAACTTTTACTAAGTGATCTACTTTTTGATATAAGCAGGTGAACCATGTGTACAGTTTAAGATGTAAAAATGAACTTTGGTTTCAGCTTTAACTTATATTATGACCCTTTCTTGCTTTTGACGGGCAATTTTAACATTTTACCATATAAACGGTTTCAGTTGTTATATGAACTCTGATATCAGATGACCTAATTTTGACCTAGTGACTCATTTTTCTCGTTTTTGATTGACAACC